GCCAGTCACTCTGGAGGCACACTGACGCTGCCGCCCAGGAGAGGAAAAAAAAAAAAAAAAGGAAATTGGAAGTCATGGTCTGAACACATGTGGAATTAAGTTTAGTCTGTAATATCTGGCTAGGAAACAAGAAGGGAGGTCAGACATGACCGGAGATCCTGTGTCCAGGATATGTGTGACACATCTTCCTACTCCCCCGTCAGTTCTGGTGTCTGAATGTGTGGTGGCCACTGCTGTTTGTCTTTACTACGTGTCTTTCTGTATGACTGCGTCCCCCTATTCAGGGGGTGTTTCTGTGTTTCTGTCAGTTCTGTCGGTTGGAGAAACAGATCTAAACTGGAAGGGAGAGTGAGCCATCCCAAGAACACAGCCACTGAAAAGGGGATTCCCCAGAGGCCAGAGGGGATAGAGCCACAGAGGAAGTGTCCCCAGAACCGGTGGGTGTGAAACCAAAGCCGGTTTCTGTTTCCCAAGCTTAATGATTCCTGAAAACTATGTTTTTCAACCTACGCTGAACTCGGTGACCCCATGATGTATACTCGGCCCTTTGCCTTGCTAAGCTCCTGAACCTGTGATATACGATTGCCCTTGGTACCTCAATGACTCCCCTTCCACATGAGGAGTTCTTGCACTACCCCACACGCAGTCCTGAGCCCCCACTCTTCCGTCCAGGTGCTAACAGCCAACCATCTCCACAGCTGTTTTCTGCTGAAAGGGAAAAATCAGCAGCCATCTTGAGAGATGCTCTCCCCCTCCTCTAAAGGTATTTGCTGACCAGCAGTTTTAGAACTGACCAGAAGTTGAACACATGGGAAGGTAAGGCTGGAACAATAACTCTATATATCCTGGACTTGGTAAAATAGGATATAGGGAGTAAGGGACTCACCTGACCAGAAATTGAACTCATGGGAGAATAGGACTGGAACAATAAATCTGAATGTATATATCCTGGGTTCAGCAAAGGCAGGACATAGGGAGTAAAAAATTTACGTCTCTGTAGATACCCTGAATCCTGTTAGCCGTCAGTAACCTCAGGCTTATAGTTCAGCCAGTAACTACAAAGAACTACCTACCCCTAGCCCCCTTGTCCAATCCCAAGATATGTAACTCTCTGGATGTAAACCTTTCCTATATAAACCCCTTCAAGTGAGTGCTTGGGGCCATCCTCCTCCACTCTGGGCTTGCTTTGTTATCAAAAAACCTGTGTGCTTGCATCCAGTATCCGCTCTGCAGTGGTCTTGCTTGGGGGTCTTGCAACACTGTCAACCCTAATCCTTCCCCATAAAAGGGACCTCAAAAGACAGTGAGAGGCTGCTCTCTGAAACCCCGACCTACGACCTACAGGGGAAGGCAGTCCTCTGGCCAGTCCCTAGTGCACTTCTAAATACTGCTTACTTTAGTCAGATGGTCACGGAAATGTCTTTTTCTCAGGTCTAACATGAGGCCTCTCCCAGTCCTGGTAACCCAGTTTACTGGACTGTAGAGAATACACCCTGGGGCAAGAGTGACTAGTGAAATAAGAACTGGCCAAACAAGGTAACAAGGATGATGGATGCTGCCAGACAGCAGACTTATCCTTTCCCTGAGTCTGGGAAGGTGACTGGTGTCATGCCATGGGGGATGGGGAAAACCACTAAGGACAAGGACAGATGGACTTAGACTCAGACCCCTTAAAGATGAAAATAACCTGAGTTTACTAAGGCAGGATACACAATCCCCATCAGCCCCAAACCTGGACACTGGAAATCAGAAAAACCACAGATGGGAAACTATATTTTGTGTCGCTCTCTGCTCTCTTAGGTCCCTTCTGAGATGGAACACTATGGATCTAGGGAAGGAACAGGGATCAGTAAATCAGGCTGTAGAGAAGACTGGCTAGAAAAAGGCCTTCAGGAATTACAATTCTATACATGCTCTACCAAGAACGAGGGACCGGCATCATGTCCTCAAATTCCCTGGCTTGTTTGTACTGGTGGACTAACTAGTACTAAACGAGCCTCCTCCGACTCAATGGAGAGCCACACCCTCACTCTATGTACACTGGTCTCTGTTATCCTCCGGGGATGCCTACAGTGAAGAGGGAGGGAATGTTAATGAAGGTCAAATGGACCCCAGTTCTGGTTCTGATGCTAGCAGGGGCAGGAACAGCCAGTAAAACTGTCATGGGCACCTCAGCCTTGATTGTTAGGAATCAAAACTTTGGACTCGGTTCCCACATAGATTTAGACTTAGGCCGTTTAGAGAATTCTATCTCCAGGTTGGAGAGCCAAGTTGACTTCCTCATAGAGGTAGTCCTACAGAACTGAAGGAGGCTAGATCCTCTTTTTATGAAGCAGGGAGGACTTTGCATGGCCTTAGGAGAAACTTGTTTCCAAGCTAACCGGTAATTAGTGAAAACCTTACCATGGTCAGAGAAAACCTCAAAGGAAGTAAAGAAAGGAGGCATAGATCAGATAATTGATATCAGTCTCTGTTTGCCTGGTCCCAGTGGCTGACCACTTTACTGTTAGCATTAGCTAGACCGCTGATTCTTATTCTGATCAGGCTAATGATGGGACCCTGCAGACTCAACGGCATGCCCAGACATCAGAGAACAAGCTCAGTTAAACTACGGGTCCCTAGGACCCACTGTGCCCCCCTAGAACAGGACTGGTTAATAATTTTATTCATAGTGGGGAATGTGACGGGCAAGGCAGTACAGAGCTTCCTCCATCTTGGGTTCTTTCTTGCTCAGGCCATTTTGGATTTAACTAGAATTTGATCTCCTTGATGGAGAATCCAGTGGAAAATTTCCCACTCCATTCTAGGGAGACCAAGATGTGCCAGCTAACTTAGCTCCTGTTAAACTGATTACCTGTGAATACTTCCCCCTGCAGTGGCAGAGCAAGATACCAGGATGTAGTTTTTGCCTTTAAAAGCCCCTTTGTCTAAATGCTCGGGGCTATACTTGTGTCCTGAATACCTGAGTGTAGTCCAGTGGGCTGGAATAAAGGCTTTCAGTCGGCTGTAAACTGTGTCTGAATGGTCATCTCTGATGGGCTTTCTGTAACCGGCAAACTACCTGTTTTGTTTTTTGAGACAGGGCTTCTCCATGTAGCTTTGGTTGTCCTGGAACTTGTTCTGTAAACTCCGCTGGCCTCGAACTCAGAGATCCAAATCAAGAGGGTACAATCAGAAGACAGAACACAGTCTGGAAGAGCATTTGGTTTGTATTCTAACTTAGGTGGTAACAGTGTCTTTTCCCCATTGGCTGGGACCCGACCTCACAGTCTCTCTCTCTCTTTCTCTCTTTTTTAGTTTTTCCAGACAGGGTTTCTTTGTGTAGTCTTGGTTGTTCTGGAAATCCCTGTTAGACCAGGTTGGCCTCAAACTCACAGAGATCCTCCTGCCTCTGCCTCCTGAGTGCTGGGATTAAAGCCAGCGCCGCCGCCACCACCACCAGCTTCCGACCTCACAGTCTTAATTAGCTAGACGTGGCCCACAGGAGAAGGGGACAGGGCCAATCAGCTCACTGCTTCAGGCCATCTAATCCGTGGAATACAGGAATGGGCCTTCCAGAAAACAAGGTTTAACTGGGTAGGGGGGTGAATACATTTGCATAAGAATCTTAAAAGTTGCAAAAAATAAGATTCGGATTCCCTGTCCCATATGCAAGTTTCAGAGTAGGTAAAGATGTATTTCTTACAATCGAGCAGCAGTAATATGGCTGCAAGTAGGACTCTACCACCCAGCCTGCTGTCTGCCTTCTCAGTGTACTCAATATTAACTGCTTTCCTTAAACAAAGAAAGTTATGTGCAATCTTCCTGGCTTCGGAATGCAGAGCTAAAACCAACAGGGCGGCTGAGCGAAGACACAGGCCCCGTAGGGGCGGGTGGGATTCCTGCACACACTCAAGCACAGGAAGTCTCCGGTTGGTGAGGTTTTGCGGGATGATGCAGGCGGGCCGGCGGGGACCCAAGCCCCGAGATCCCAACAGCTGCACGCGCTACACCTTAACCAATTTACATAAACATAGACGGACCACAATAGCGCAAGGCCCGTAAAGGCGCGCGGGAGAAGCTGCGCCTGCGCGACCTGCCCGCGCGCGCTTGCGCACCCCCGGCCTCGGGGGGGTGGGGGGGCTCCTGTGCCCCAGCCGGCGCCTGCGCCAGCACAGGCTCATGGCAGGTCTCGCCGAGGCGTTCACGAACCCTGGCCATCTCTGCACAGACGCCACGGGCGAGGGCGCGGGGGTCACGAACCCTGGCCATCTCTGCACAGACGCCACGGGCGAGGGCGCGCGGGGGGAACCTCGCCCCGCGAGCGCCCAGCGTCCGGGGCATTGTGGGACGGCGATGCGGCGGCCACGTGACGCGCCCCGACGAATCGGCGCGCAGACCGCACTTTTGCTGTCGGCTTCAAACAAACTACCTAGCGGGGTCGGGCGGCTCCGGCCCGCCCCTCGGCCGGGGTCG